CTTTAATGCAGCCGTCTCTCGGCTCTGACAAGCTGAAGCCCCGTCACCCTCATTTAATAACAGATGTGCAACCTTATTAAACTCAAATTCAAAACTATTCCATGAATACCATATCATTTTCCAAATTGATTGGCTCGTTGATATTAAGTGTTTGATTATTTTGTCTATGTTTTTTCTTGTGTAATTTTAAGAACCTGTCAAAGTAATTAAGAATAATAGCTTAGTAGCTCCTGCTAATGTGTATATATATATATTATATACAAATATATACGCAGATCATATACACATACACATCTAAGAATTGATCTTGTAATTGCAGATATAGACCACAAGATGACCCTCTAACCTAAGGGAAATCTGCATCTCATTCAGTTGTTCCAGGCCTTTCATTTATATAGTTCTGTTCTGTTTTTAAGAGGAAAGTTGCTACGCTAAATATTCTGATTTAACTGCATTAAAATATGGTTTTGTGAAACATCCATCAAAATAGCATTTGCCTTTTTCCAGATTAAGTTAAGACACCTGCCCCATAAAATACAACAGTTGTGATTAGAAAGCCGTAAGAAGACCAGACCTGAAAGAGGATTTTCACTCTCTGCCAGAAAAACAAGCCAAGCCGCCGTAATACTGACCGGTCACCATTACGTTGCCCCCCCCCCCCTCCCCCCCCTCTCTTAACCTCTCTGCCATTTCTGGTGTCCTAGATGCTGGTTGTCTAGACATCACCATTGTCTGCTCGGCCCCGCTCGGCCCCTTGTGCCAGCGTAAATCTCATTAACACCAGGAGGACCTGGTGGAACCGGGGCTCGCTGTGAGCCCCAGGGACTAAAAATAGAAAAAAGAGGGCGATTACTATAAACTGGATCTGTGATTACATCTGAACCGCTCACCTGCGCCGTTTCATTCTCACTGAACAGTGACACGCAGGTGATGGAAATAAACCTGTGGGTTTGTTCATATTACTGAGAAGATGCGTTCCCCTATGAACCACCAGATGGCAAATGGGATTAATACAGAAAAGCTGAAGTTTCTCGTTCATCTGAAGCTGTCCTTGTCTGGGTATACCACTGAGGATCAGATCAAATGTTCCCTTTGCAATATAATGGAGGATTTCTTTCTTTTTCCCGGGTTAGGTAAAGCCTGTGAGCATTTTTTCCCTCCGTGAGTTTGGCCTGGCTTACTGTGTGTGAGAGATTTCCCAAAATGCTCCTAAGAGTCATTTTTAAAAGGACACAGCTTTGGTTTGTGTGCTCTTCATGAGATATTCCTGAAATGAATCGAGTCTCATAATATCATGAAAAGCCTTGATATAATTATTCATATCTGATGCCGTTATGTCAGGGGCAACTAATCATGAAATTATTTATCCCTTTAAAGCCTGATCCAAGAATAAAACAAAACAGAAAATTACTCTTTTTTTGGTTTTAAGTCTTATTTTGGCCTTTTAACAAAATATGTAAAAAGAAAAAACAGAAATACATATTTAATATGAACGATTTATTACCATGCGATAAGTCAAGATAATTGTTTGTGTAGTCTTCTGCCCCCTGTTATCAGGTGTATCTGACTGTGTACAATAGGATTTTGAGCAAAGTTTTTACCATTAAATTATGCAAAAGGTGTCAGACGCAAAACATTTCAGAAACCGTATGTATCAAATATGATACATTTGGCATTACAGGGTTATAATCAGAAATGTCCCCACTCCTCATTATGGATCCATGCTCACCTTGTTTAAATCATACGGTTCTGGCAGTTTGATTAAATGAAATAATGTTTTTTATATAGCAACCATGATATTAGTAGTTAGCAAGACTATTTTCTACCTGAGTCTTGCCCCCGGGGTAATTGTTTAACTTGACCCCACTGAAGGTGACCAAGCATTACTGCCAAATGGCTTTCTGACTGAAGTTCTCAGTATTGTCTGGTTTCCAGGCAGCATTTAGGGGTCAGATGTGAACCTTTAGCCTGGAATTTGTTCGGAGGTGGTCTGTATCTCGGCCTCTCCCTTACCCAGATGGTGGGCCAGGCTTTGAACCCAAGGCCCTCCTTCTTAAGGTACAAAGATCCTTTTTTTTTCTTAATGTGACAGCACAGGAGCCCTCTGATACATTTAAACCGGTTTGGATCCAATAAGGACATCATTTTTCTGTAATAGGTTTGGTCCAATATGTCTAAAATCAAAATGACAAATACTACTGTGCATCACCATGCCTGCAGAAAAGTAACCACAAATTCAAACTATCGCTCCTGGCTGCTTTTTAAAAGAGGGATCGGCAGGAAAATCTGGCTGAACTGAAACAGAAGGGTGCAGAATTAGAATTAGCGGTGGCTCCAAACCTTTTAAAACAGGTTCTCCTTGGACATATTTCAAATTCTTCCGCCTCTGGAGCCACTCCTCTTATCTCAGAGGGGCAGCTTCTGTCTGTGGAGCAGATCGGACTGGACCCGTGCAGAGGGGGTGGGGGTTGGGGTTGTGGTTTCCAAGTAGATCGGTAAAAAAAAAACGAAAAGCGCAGTGCGCGCTGGGCACAGGCTTTACGGTATTTGGCTCCGTCCCCCTTGCGCACGGTGCCTGGCAGGAGCCCACCGAGCTGCAGCGCGGACGGAGGCGCGTGCGGATGCCGATCGGTGTGTGTGGGGGGGTGCAAAGCTGCTCTTGTTTTTTTAGAAAGCAGGACTCGAGGAGGACGCTCAGCTGACCACTGCTTGGATCTTAGGGGCGCACTGTCACTAAACCCATTGCGCAACCCCCCTTTATTTTTTGTTGTTGTTTTTTTTGCATGCAGTCTGCTCGCAGGGCGCGTGGAGTCTGGGATGTATTTTTCCACCCGGTTAAGTTGCTGAACCCTCGCGATGCGCACGCTTCTGGTTCCGACCTAAAGGGTGTGTCGGCTTAAAGGGACGATCGCTTTCAGCCTTTTATTCCCTCGTCTGCAGAATGTTTTGAGCGCCAACTGGGGGGGTTAAAGGGGGGGGGGGGGGGCGCCTGCTGTCGTCTGGAGGAGGAGTAGGAGGAAGAGGAGGAGGAGGAGGTATCTTCACTGCGCAGACGAGCGGTCCCTCTGCGCCTCGTCCTCCACCACAACAAAAACACGGGACGGGAGGAAGGAGGAGGGGGCGAGGGGGGGGTGGGGGGGGGGGGGGGGGGGGGGGGGGGGGGGGGATCTGGACACGTACGCCGCGAAAATGACGATGTCCGTCCCGGAGAGGAAGTCTGGATCGGAGGGGAAGGAGGAGGAGAGCGAGGATGAGAGTGAGATCCTGGAGGAGAGCCCCTGTGGCCGCTGGCAGAAACGGAAGGAGCAGGTTGGTTCGGCTTGCTGTGTATATGTGTGTGTGAGAATGTGTGTGAGAATGTGTGTGTATGTGTTTGTGTTTGAGTGAGTGACTGTGACCAGAAAGGTTGGTCCCCAGAAAGCATGTCCTGGTCTTGTGTCCCCACAATACTCCAAAGACACGGATATGTGTGTGTGTGTATGTCTGTGTGTGTGTGTGTGTGTCTGAGCGAGCTGCCCCCGATTAGCCAATAAATCAATCCCGCTGGCCTCTCTGGCCACGCTGGACCTCCTGTTACGCAACTCCAGGTCTGAGTGTTGTTGCAGAGTGGTGTTTTTGCGCCATCCCACCATAAATCTCGCACCGTGACACATCCGGTGATCGGCTTAGCCCACATCCAATCTATTCCAGGGTACACAGTAAATACCGAGGGGTCAGGAGTTCCTGAAGCCGCCGTCCCGCTTTAAGACCCTTCTGGATATATAAACAGTCTGTGTTCTGTCGCCAGTTTGCCTCAGTTTCTGTCTGATCCGCTCACTAACTCACATCAGATCGCTAATGTCATCTCACAGAGGCCTGCGGACGAACAGAAATCGTTTTAAAGGCAGATCAGTAAAAGTTCATAACAGTTCATTGAACCCTCTCCTCTAAATTGTGTCCTTTTCGGCTTCTCTCTGTAATATTTCCTTATAAGTTTGACCTGAAAGATCGTTCAGGAGCCGTCCACCATCCCTCATTGGAGGAAAACAGAAAATTAATTCACTATTTGGAAACATAAATGGAGATACGTTCTCAAAAACTATCCACATAAGTGTTAAAGGCAGTCATTTGCTATTTGAACCCTGTGAGGCTCAGGCCTTTTCTCTAAAACCATTAGTCTGC